ACCGGTTTATAATCAGAAAGAGGTGGAAACTTACGCTTAGGTATGTTATTGTCATTGGGAACATCCGTGTTTGCAGTGACATCTTTCTACTTTTGTTGCTCCGATGATGTAGGAACTGTTTTTACTGGAATCTTAACCTGTTTACCACTTCTTAGGATGATTGCACATGCATTTTCTCTTAGATTGACCATTGTTTGATAGGGCAATTTTCCTGAACTTTGTGCTTCCATCATGCTGATTGAGGTTTCCATTTGACCCATTTGATCCTCTAAACTTTTAATACTTGCCCTTGTCTCCTGTTGGAATTGCGAAGTGTTAGTGGTAAGAGACTTTACGATATCTTCTAAAGGCATACCTGAATTTGAAGTTTGGTCCCGTTGTTGTCTAGGAGGGTATGGTTGCCTATATTGCTGGAAGTTTGGGCAATTTTGAGGTATTGGTTGACTCACTTGTTGATTCCTATAGCTAAGGTTAGGATGATCCCTCTATCTTGGGTTATAAGTGTTTGAGTAAGAATCATAATTCCTTTGCGATTGTCTAGAAAATCCGTCCATTGCATTAACTTGTTCATTGGGATCTTCTTGAAGAGTTGCGCGCATGTCAGTTGGATGCCCTGTTACTGAGTAGATTCCACAAGACTTTGCTGTTTGCATGATTCCTGTAGCCATTCGACGAACAATAGAAGTTAGACTCGCAAGTTGTTGTTCAATAGATGAAACATTTACCTCATTAACAGGTCTAGAAAGGGTTCTAGTGCCAAATAGCTGAGAGTTGATTGCCATGTTTGCAATTAAGTTCCTTGCGCCCTCGGGAGTTTTATCCACCAAAGCTCCTCCACTTGCAGCATCAATCATATTCATATCTGTGGGTAGAAGACCTTCAAAAAAAATATTGAATGAGGAGTTGTTCACTAATTTTATGGTGGGGACAGCTTGCACATAGTCGCTTGAAACACTCCCAGTATTCATGTAAGGATTCTCGACTGTCCTGCATTACACCAGAAATTGCCTTTCGAATGTTTGCTGGCCTTGAAGCTAAAAAATATTTCTCTAAAAACAACCTCTTCGTCTCCTCCCATGTTGTGACACTTCTAGATGGTAGATAGTAGAGCCAGTCCCCAGCTGAGTCCTTTAATAAGAATGGAAAATCTTTCAATTTGATTTGCTCTTCAGTTACCTATGTGGGTTTCATACTTGTGCATACCGCATGGAATTCCTTTACATGCTTGTGAGGATCTTCACCTGTAAGACCATGAAAGGTGGGCAAAAGATGTATTAGTCCAGACTTCAATTCAAAAGTAGTGGTAATATTTAAAGTAGGAAAAGTGATGCAGAGAAGTTGTTGGTTTAAATTCGGAGCTGCAAGCTCCTTCAAAGTTTGTTGTCCAGCCATGTATCCCTTGAAATTTAGTTGAATGCCACTCCTTAACCTGAGCAAAGTTTTTTCTAACTCTGGATCACATTGCAAATTAGTTTGGTTAAAGGATCGAGTTATGGGCATAAACAATTAAGGAAGCTATTAAAAAAAAAAGTAAACTAAACTAAACAAAATAAACAAAAAAGAAAAGGTTTTAAAAAAAAAACTAAGTGAACAAATAAAAAACATAAAAGTAAACTAAATCACTCCTCGACAACGACGTCAGACGTGTTGTCGGAGGCACCCAAAAATAATAAAACCTACACTTCCAAAAAGTGTATGAAGTTGTGGAAGTAAGGATCATTCCTATGAAGAGTGATTAGTATAATTTTATGCAATGTTAACAGTAACGGGAGTTTTGTTTTTTGATGAAATCAAGTCTAACTAAAAATAATGCAATTTAATAAATTGGATTAAATCAATAGAACGAACCTTGGTCTAAGTCAATATTCACCGTAGGAATTCCGAACTGATCATAGATCCATAACTAATTACCAATTCATATTTTTAGCATTCATCGTTGGAATTTATATTTCTTATTTCTCCTTAGTTGTAATTAACCGGAAAACAAGCGATCAAATTAATCCTTATTATCAAATCACCCAAGAAAAGCACTTAAAATTTAATTTAATAATAGTATGGGAAACTAGAGAAATCGATGAGACTAAACAACACAATCACAAGCGATCATATTTAATCTAGTCAAATATCTTCCCTAGAATTTAATAACCTCTAAAGCAACGATTAATCAAACTCTAGTTGCTTCGTAATGTCAAAGATATCAAATAATTACGTATTTGTTCTTTAAACAAGCAGTCGATCAAAGCACATGAACATCTAATAGGCCTCTTAGAATTCAAATTCAACAACCATGAAATCATGCACAAAAGAATACTCAATACATAAAATATGAATGAAAATAATGAAATTTATTTAGATCTCACAGTTTGAATAATTCCTAGGTTTCAATATCATTCGACCAAGAAATGAAGTTTAGTAATACATTAATAATTCTTAAACAAAAAGAGAGAAAAGTATATGGTGTCCATTCTTCGCCTCTAAAAATGCGTAGAATATAAGATTTTTAGGTCAAAAAAGGAGGTTCCGTTCGTTTTGGCATCTTTAGGTATATATATGATATCAAAAATATTGTTTCCATGTAAAATTTCATCGGAATTAGGAAACTGTCCCATCACAGAAATTTTAGCCTGTCCTCGCGCGCCATGTATTTCATTGCGTGCATCACTTTGTTGTTTTGCTCTCAGTATGCAAGAATGAGTCTCGTGCGGGGGCCACTTTAAGCCCGTGCGCGCGCAGTATAAAATAATTTCAATTGCTGCACTTTGATCCCTCAATTTCAATCTTCATTCATTTTAACTCTTTTTTGATGTATTCTTACTCCCTTAACTTTCAATTCCATCTAATTGAATTCACACATTCTCCAAGCATCGATATTGTGTCCGAATCAACTATTAGCACTTTTCATTTTAGTCCCCAACTTTGGATTCATTTCTTTTTAGCACCTTTTTTTTTCATTTTTTTCTACCAAATCCATCAATTTGCATTGATTTCAACCTCTTTGACTTCTTTCTTTATCCAATTGACCTTCCACACTCTTGAATCTTCATTTCATCGCCCTCTCATCTCTGGATTATTTTCAACTTGGTTTTTGAGCTTTCACTTTTTTCCATTTTGATTATTTTTCGCTCTTTTCTTCCAAACTCCATATTTTCCAACCATTTACAACCTAAATCGAAATATAAGGGAACTAAATACATTTAGACGTTAATTAATCACAAAAATACAAATATTAATGGATGTAAAACACGACATTTTATGTCTTATCAATAAGGATTTTAATGAGACAACTCTAATAGCGTACTAAAAGAATACTCTTTTTTTTTTAATTAGAATTTTTCCTACCATAACATACTAGATATTTACTCTCATAATAACTCTTATATGTACAAAACTCTCGAAGAGATCAAAAAGAGTTATTTTTTGTGTCATCAGGTTACTGCAATTATCAAGTTTTGTCCCACTAATTTTTTTTAAAGACATTGACATACAAGATATCAATATTGAAGACATTGACATACGAGACATGGATCGTTTGATACAAGAATTGAAATCAGAGAAGTAGCTGTACTATTTTTCCTTCGATCAAGTTTTTTCCCACTAAATTTTTTCAATAAAGTTTTAATGAGGTAGCATTTTGTTACTTCAAATTACTTTCTCTTTTTTCCATTTGTCGACATTTTTGTCCTATCGAATTTTTGTGAAATAAGATTTCATTGAGATAGTTATTGTATAAATAATCATTCAAGGGGAAGTGTTTTAAATATAGTAATATTTATGAATGACTTTTATATCCCTACAATTCTAGTATTATGAGTGTTATATCATTTGTAACATTGTTTTTTCCCAATAAATATGAGACTTTGATTCTTAATAAAATACACAATTTTATTAGCTTCTTTCTTTTATTCTCTCTCTTTTTGTTTTTTTTTTCCTTTCATGATTATTACCATTTTAATTACAAAAATGAAAAGGGGATTTTGTAATGGCCGAACACTTTGAAACATTAGTCTATACCAGCATAACTGAAGTGGCACAATCAAATTTACTCCACTATACAAGATTGACCATTTTAACTTGTAACTCATGCTCTAATTTCATCTGGCACCAATTAAAACCACTCCCATTTCCCACCAACAACCACTCGACATTTGTAGTCTGTCATGGCCCATTCATAAAGTGATAAGTATTTTATATTCAAACATAAATCAAAACAGACATGGAATCTTTGGGTAACTTTACCAATCTGTGCTGTCCACTCGTTTTCATATACTTCCAAACGCATTGTTTAGGTGAAGGCCCTCGTGATGCACGCGTCTGAGAAACGATTATATTAAAATTTAAGCAATATAAATTATGAGTCTTGAGAAAAGTAGGAATAATAAGTTAGTATTAAACGTAGATTTTATGAAAGGTATGAGTAAAATTTATAATTGAATTAAAATTTAAGCGATATAAATTATGAGTCTTGTGAAAAGTGGGAATAGCAAGTGAGTACTAAACGTAGATTTTATGTAAGGTATGAGTAAAAATTATAATTGATCAGAATTAATTAAATTATAATTGCTTCGACAAACATATGCTTATGGCACAATTAGAGCATCCCCAATCTTGATTTAGATCTTCAAAGAGTCCGAAAAGCTTTTCAGTGGAGAGATGCAAAGGAAATTTAAATTTCATTTTCCAACTGAAAATATAAAAAGGATATAAATTTACAATTTTTTTTTTCAACTACAAATGGCAAAAACCAAAAAGTGGATTTAGATATTTCAATTGGAGCAAAATTTGAATTTACTTCCACTAGGATATAAATAAGGATATAAAAGTGATTTTGAATATATCAATTTATATCCAATTTCATTTTTTTTTTTTGACGGGGTAACCCTCAACCGCTACCTTTTGGGTGCGCATTGGGTAAACCCTCGAGCTAACGCAATAACCTGCAATTTTAACCATTATTGAAGATGTTCATAGTAGGTGAATGAGTTGAATAATACGGAACAATATTAAAGATGAGAAAGAAATTAAAATCTTATTAATTGGATCCTCACAGTCCTAATGCATCTCAATGCAATTCAGGAACCAGAAATAACACAACTATTTTTATGACCATGATGACAATAAACTGAATCAAGAAAATATTTTCTTTAGGCCTTCTCTCAGAGCAACATTAGTAACACTGTAACCCCCATCAATGACTAGATTCTGCCCACTTACATACTTGGATCCATCACTGGCCAGGAACAGGGCAGCCTCAGCTATATCATTTGTCTCTGGGATTGTCTCTTTCAAATTTGCAATTTCATGTATCAATTCCTCCACTTTCTCCTTTCCTGTGTCTTTGAACCCAGTCATCATCATTGGTGTAGCAATAGCAAAAGGAGAAATGCAATTGACTCTAATTCCATGCTTTCCCATTTCAACACACAAATTCTTTGTAAACCCTACTATTGCAGTTTTGGATGTAGCATAAGCATGAGGAATATCCCAATAAATCACAGAGGCGACACTAGAAGTAAAGATAATGCTCCCTTTCTTGGCCGGAATCATTACCCTTGCAGCGTGTTTGGCGCATAGAAACATGCCAAAAACATTAACGTCGAAAACCCTCTTGTAATCTTCATATTCGGTAGCCTAAATTGATGTGTCGCCCTTGCCGGGGACACCAGCATTCCCAAACATTATGTCTAGTTTACCGTACTTGGAAACAGCCGTGTCCACTGCATTTTGAACATCGGTGTCATTAGTTACGTCGCAGTGGACATAGGAAATGACTTCTGGAGATCCTATGCTTTCGCAGACAGCCTGGCCGAGTTTATCTTGGAGATCAGCAATGACAACCTTAGCGCCATGTTTGACGAAAAGCCTGGCCGAGGTTTCCCCTATGCCACTGGCGCCACCAGTTATTACGGCAACCTTGCCTTCTAGCCTGCAAAATCAAACAGGATGTTTCTTAAATTTTATTAAGTTGAACAAACTTCAAGAATTACTGGCATAGGATAGGATAATAATTACCTGTTTGTCATTTATCTAGAAACAAAGAACCCTTCAGTGGATTTCTCAAGGAAAATAAGACTCCTTTCGAATGGAAAATAAAAGGAACTTGATCTCATATATATAACAGATCAAGGAAAAATATGGACCATTCATTTGATTAGTTGGAGTCACTGACTGGACGAAGTGGTTGGATTCCATCACGCCGGTGCAGTGGGTGTATGCTGCAGGGCCGTGGACCATATGGAAGGGTATGATATGAACCGTCAAATTGAGTCTCAAATGTGCAACCTAGAAGTCTAGATCGATCAATGCCAAAAGTCATGACAATGAATGAAGACAATTTTCTTTTCTTTTTTTTTTTTTTCTTTCTTTCTTTCTTTTTTTTTGGCCATTTCACAATCAATGAGCATCCCAAGTAAATTATGTACGATTGATTTATCTTTCTCCTGTAAAGAAATTTGCTTACTAATTTTTTAATCATGTTACTAAAGCCTCTATCGGTGTGACTTTTTTGGACAAATCTATCAGATTTTGAGATTTACAACAATTCTATCAATATAATATTAATTACCTACTATTTGAACGTTTAAGTAGGACAAGTAGGGTAAATATTTATTTCCTCTAATTTGTCATTTTTATCTTCCACATCTAAAATCACGTTTACATGCCACACTAAAAGTAGAAGGACGAAATGGACATTAACCAAAAACCACAATGTCGACTTCAATATTGGTATGTCACTCATAAAAAATGGCCATTGTTTTTGGATTGAAGAAATAGTTTGGGACCCACTTTACTATTGCGAGTAACCGAGTTTTCAAGAAATTGCTCAGCTAGATAGAGGTTAAATTTCAAATTTTAATTTTAGTACTCTAGCCCATAACAAGCCTTTCTTGGGCAACAACATAGGGCCTGACTTTTGGTATTACAAAGAGCACACCTCCATATCGTATCTTTTGATCGATGGTGCCATTTACTGATGCAGAGGATCCTCAGAGAGAAAACTGCAGAGCATACTTTTGATACTACTTAGATCTTATTCTTATTGTTCATCTTGATTTTATCGTAGTTGTCAAAACTATGGAAGAAGGAAGAATCGTTTTTCAGATTCTCATGGAGATAAAAAAAAAAAAAAAGACATTTATTTAATAGCAGAGCTGGGCTCGAGCTGATCTACAATGAAGGAAGAAGCTCCTTATATAGAAGAAGAGAATCTTCATGCATTCCACTCAACACAATAATACAATTGACTCAAAGATAATAATACAACCAATACAAGGACAATAATCTTACAACAAACCAATTGACTCACCACCACTTCAATAAAGTAGGATAATAGTCTGACATATGTACAATAATTTTACATGATGCCTAAAAAAAGTGCATCTTTTAAAAAGCAAGGAATTTGCTTTTAAGGGGGCATTGCTGTTTGGCCAGGTATGTTTAAGTTATTTGAGTCAAAGGGAAGTCCACGTTGTTTCCACCAATGCCGGTTATTAGGATCAAATTTTTCTTCCAATTTTTCAAAATTATCTGGATCTGTTGAATCAAAATCATATGATTGTGTTTCATATTCATATGGATCTTAAGAGTCTTGGAAAACACTATTATTGTAATTTGGTTCTATGTCTAAATTTCTTGAACTTGGATTGTTTAGATTCCTTAATCTTGGTTTGTTTATGTCCATTGATTCATCATTATTTTTCATTTTTTCTTCGAATTCGTTCCAAATGTTTTCACGGAGTCCGTGTCCTTCTAGTGTTGTTTCTAGATGCTTGGATGTTTCTCCGAGACATTGGTGTGATCTTCCTAAGAAGAGTTGGTTCGAATGTGTCATGTCATTTTCTTAAGAGTCAGATGGACAGTGTTCAAATAGCTGTCCAAAAAGTTGACATTGTCCTTTTCTATGTTTTTCAATATCTTGTTGAATCCTGATTACATAATCCAGAGGCAAGATTTTTTATCGAGCACCGCCTTCTATATCTGGCCAGATTTGGGGAGGAATAGTCTGATTGATTTCGATTATTCTTCTTTGGAATTCTCGAAACTTTTTTGGATACCTTTCCCAATCTTGGTGTGGATTGAAAGGTTGAACTGCATACTCCTTAACATGAGAGATATGTTCATATGATTCCATAGTTGTAAAATAATCTCGTCGCTGAAAAATCAAGATTACAAAAACATTTTCCTAAGAAGTTCCAAGGTCTTTGAATTTTAAAGAAAATGCTTCAAACATTTTTACCAATGAGGGATAGGATAAAACCATTCGAAGAAATTCTTTGCCTCAAAAGTACTTCTTGAAAGGGATCACTTTTGTTGAAACTTCGAAAACTAATTTCTGTGAACCATTCAAGATTGTCATTGACATTAAAAAAAAATTCTAATCTGATAAAGTTTCAACAAATACCAAAGCAAGCAGAGTAGTTCTTTTGAAAATTTTGAAATTGCTCGATGTAGATTTATATGGAAGAAAGTGAAAAATGATAGACCGGATGAAATTCAAGGCCACAGGGTGTTTCAATCCCAGTTTCTCTGATGACTATGGATTGATGTTTCAACATGAGTTCTCTGGCTTTGGAGTGAAGAGTTTTCTCTCTGATGAGATTATTGAGTTCAGGAGTGATTGAATCATTTTAAGTAAATGAGTTTGAAGTAAAGAGGAAGAAGAGCTCATCATGCAGATTATGGCGATAGGCCAGATATGAGAAATTTTTGGTCTAGCGAGTAGGCTTGGAAGAAGATTGGCTTTTCCTTTTATATGCTTGACATCAAAGTTGAAATTTGAAAGCCATTATGCCCATCTGAGCAGTTGAATAGTTGGAACTTGTTTTTGTTTGAATGATAACATTTTAGGGAATGCTGACATATCTATTTCAACCAAAAATTTATATCCAATGAGGTTTCTTTGAAAGTGGAATGATAAAGTTTTCTATTTCTGAGAATGATCCACTTTTGTATCCACAAATACGTCTTTTTTCATCTTTTTCTTCAAGGAGAACTGTTGTCAGTATAGATAATTTGCATTAGTTTGTAAGATCTTCTTTCCATCAATAGGAATAGACAGAGCTGGAAGTCCTTGTATCCTTTGATTAATTTTTCGAACTACTTCTATTTATTCCGAAGACCATGGTAGTGCATTCTTTTTTAGCATGTTTTGCAATAGTCTGATAATGGAAGATAGATGATCAACAAAGTTTACCATGTAGTTTACAATTTCAAGAAATTGTTGAACCTCATTTTTGGAGAAATCTGTGTCTGCAAATTTTAATAGTTCTTGACCAACATGTGGCCGCAGAGAATACTGACCATATTTAATATGTATTCCCAAGAAATCAATTTTAGAAACCCCAATAACCGTTTTCTTTTGGGAAAGCATGACTCAAAATTGTTTTGTCAAATTAGTGAAATGAAAAAAATAACCGAGAATGAGTATATGTAGCTTTTAAGAATAAGAGATTATTGTCATTATAAATTAGTGCCGGTTTTAATATTGGATGATAAATTCTTGTGATAGCCTTTTGAAATAACAAATGGGCTATTTTAAGACCAAATGGTATAACTGTCCATTGATAGCGATAGTTTGGAATACAGGTCTCGTGTCTTTCTGTTGCCTTGATTCTCAGTTGCCAAAATCCTGCTTTTAGATCAAACTCTGAGAATATCATTTCTTCAGCGAAAGTATATTGATAGTTCGGAATACAGGTGATAAGTGTATTTTTACACACTTATTTAATATCTAAATATGTTATTAATTGATTAAATGAATGGAATTCCACTCACAATTATGTAATATTTACTTTTGTAGGTAAAAATCACACAAAGGAAGATAACAAAGCAAAATGAGGAAAAATGGAATGAAAAGGGACCAAAGTGTGCAAAATTGTGAAATGGAGACCAAGGAAAACAAGTCAAAAAGTTGAAGGACCTTTGGATGCAATTTATGGAGGGGACAATTGATATAAAAGTCAAAATCTAAGGACCAAATTGTACAAGATCAAAGTTGAGGGACTTAGCTACAAATTGATCAAAATCCCTTTTTTTTTTGCTAGACAAAGACTCTGACGCTGTAGCGTCGGTTTTAATTAAAAAGAAATTTGGGGACCTTTTTGATAACTTTTGAGACTTCAGGGACCAAGGCTGCAATTCCTTTAGGGTTTTGAATTTAAAACCGGCAGCTGAGTCTTCTACCATATTCCGTCTTCTGCAGGGTATTCTGCCTCTTCTTTTGGTTTTTTTTTCATTTTTCTTTTCTTTTTCTTTTCTTCTTCCTTTTCCTCTTCTTTTTCTTTCCTTTTTCCTTTGTAATTTCTTGGTGTATTTGGAGAAAAATCTATAGCACAAAGGAGACTCAATCAAGGAGTGGAGAAATTTTTAAAAAAACAAGTTCAAGATTCAAAAAGGGTTTTATCTTTAAATCTTATATTTTCTCGATTATTTTGCCATATTTGCAATGTATTGTATGAATATTCTCCTTTGCTATCTTATGCATAAAATGTGCTAAATTATTTGTGTTGAGATTTATGTTTGTAGATTAACTTAGCTTTTAATTGATTTTAATATTTGCTCTTTGATATTAAGTTGCTTATTTTCATGTGTTCCTACTATTGTATTTATTGCATTTTCATTTATGTGGCCAATGAATTATCATGTTTAGTGAATTGTACGTCGTTCGAGAGAATATTGTGCATTTTAGACGAAATGGTAAAAACTCTAGGTTCGTGTAGGGGATAGAGATATACCTTAATTCTAGGTGACCCATTGAGTTATTTTCACAAACGTTGAATGCGATTGTTTAGTTCTAATCAATATAGAGATATAGTAGGTTAAACCAATCAATTAGGGTTAATTTCGCTTGAGAGCGGTAATTAACTAAAATTGAAAAATCGGGTCTAATATAGTAAATGAGTAGTTTGTTAATTGGCATGTGGAGAAATTAATTAGGTGACGGTTAAATGAAATCATGAATACCAACCACGTTTGCTTTCGAAAGTTCCCATGGTTTTTATATTTTCATATTTGGTAGGTTTTTAGTTAATTTCCTTATTTAAAATCATGTCTTTAATTGTGTGTGTTTATTATTATTGTTAGAATTAAATTAATTAGAGTCGTGTAATCGAAAGTATATAT